TTGGGAAAAGGGGAATTTGTTTGTATATTTAAAATTCGATATTGACATTAAAAAAAACCATACAATTTCAAACCATTCGGCACCATATATACGCTACGACCTTCGAAGCAGTCGAGTTCGAGTAGTGCGAGGTCGCGCGTCCGTAGCCAGGACTACATATTTTGAATCAAAAACTCTCCAAAAATATTCATTAGAAACTCAATTATCTACCCGTTTTCGAAGTGACCAGTGGGATTACATTGTTTATGAAACAGGAGCTCCTGTGAGGCGCCAACACCAGCGCATAGCACAACCCTGTGCAACTCCAAGGTAGGTGCCTTATCTAATATTGCCTTTGTATGGTTCCGCGATCAAATTTCGACGCGTTTACAGTCCGCGGCTCTCCAGAATAAATTTCCCAACGTTTTAATCATAAACACTGGGCTTTGTAGAGTGTCAGCAATTGGCTTGGTGTGTACAGATGTCTTGTACGAAATAGCACCCCCAGCTTTTGGGAGGCCCTTTTAGCAATATCTGCCACGTGACTGTGCCAAGACATGTTGGTCTCTGCAGTAACCCCCAAGATGTTCAACTGACTCTGTAATGTGACAGCACTTCCAGATAGCATGATGTTTGGCTCACCGTTGCTGGTCTTTTTTGAAAACAGAGCTGCTTGGGTTTTCTGCGCGTTGAACTGTACAAGGTTTTTGTTACCCCAGTCGTCCATTATCTCCAGGTCGTTATTTATCTGCGATATTTGAATTAGTCTAAGATGATGGAATTCACGTGCGGAAAGACCTGTGGGTGGTATGAGTGAGGAGACTACATTGCCATCGTCTGCAAAGCAATAAAGTGGATTTACTGTTTTATCTATGAGGTCATTTATGTAAATCAGGAAAAGAGTTGGCGAAAGGATTGCTCCCTGTGGCACACCAGCATTTATTTGGTAAGAGTTGGAGTTCTGGCCATCCAGTGCAACATAAATGGATCTGTCCTTTAGGTAACTTTCAAACCAAGTGCAAAGTTTCGGCAATAATCCCATTGCTTTGAGCTTGTTGAGTAGATTTTCATGCCAAACTTTGTCGAATGCTTTAGATATATCTAAGGCAATTGTTCTTGTTTCACCCCGCAACTCAATCGCTTTTTGCCATAAGTGAGTGATGTATGTAAGTAAATCGCCAGTTGACCTATATTTTCGAAATCCGGATTGCTTATCGTTGATAATTTTGTACTTTTCCAAGTACTTGGTTAGGTGATTGTTCACAACTCTTTCCATTACTTTTGATATCACCGGAAGTAGAGCAATTGGTCTATAGTTTAACGGATCTGTCTTTTTTCCTTTCTTTGGAATGGGTTGTACTGCGGCAGACTTCCATGATGATGGATATACTCCTTGCCTGTAAGACAAATTGAGGTTTGCCCTAACACATTATTCTTACTCCTAAGATCATTTACAATAGCCCAAGCTCCCTTTGACTTATTCTGTGAGTTATCAATTCTGTCCTCATAATATTTTTGTTTAGCCCTCCTAATGGTACTCTTGTATATTCTACGGTTTGTCCTGATATAGTTAACGAAAAAATCATTGTTTGTAAATTTTCGTATTACGCACAAGGATCTAAAGTTTTGTAAGGAAATCTTAATGCCCCGCGTTATGCACCTTTTTTTTTCTGTGTCTCATCCTGCGCAACTGAAAGCTCTCCAGAAAAATCTTCTGTACAACTTAGTGAAAGGCGTCGATAGGCCTGTCCGAGTCGAGCACCAATTCCCAATTTATCACACTAACCTTTTCCCTAAAATTTCTAAAGTTTTCACCTGAAAAAATCCGTTTACATTGTGCAGGTTCCCTTTTAGATAGTTTTGGTATGGGAAAGCTGGAAAATAATGCCTCATGGTCAGAAAGATTGTTAGGAAGGACCTCACACTTTACATTGTCATGACTAAAGTTGGTACAAAAGTAATCTATAGTAGTGGCAGTCGGATCTGTTATTCTAGTTGGAGAGTTAACAAACATTTTTAAGTCATAAGAAAGCATTAGATTCTTCAAAGCTACTGTACCAGCCAAATTATCACTATTGTAATCTAAATTAAAATCACCGATACAAACAATTTTACTACTTGGTGGTAGGTCCAATAAAATGGTTTCTAAACTCATTAGAAAACCAGTTGAATAGATATTATTTTTTTTATTATATGCCAATGAGAATTCAAAAATGCTTTCTGTATATAAATGGTTGTATTTATTTAGGTTTTCTAGCATGGAATATGATTGTACCACCATAACCTATGTTTGTCGATCTACAGCTATTTGAAATAACATGATACCCAAGAATGCCGAAAGGTTCCTCGGGTTCCAACCAATGCTCTATCAATACTATTAGTTCTGGGTAGTTCAATTCATCAAGAAATATACAAAATTCATCAATTTTATATCTAACAGAGCGTATATTTAAGGTTGAAGCTCTGATGCTGTGTTTACTTGAGTTATTTCTAAAAAAGATTTATTACTAGTAACATGCAATATTTGATAAGAGCTATCCCTAACACCGGTCTCAGACTGAAGAGAACTCTCCTTGTCAGTACCTACTGTGGCATTTTACACTAATTTCTAAAACAGGCTGAGCCCCTGTACTTGTTACTGCCTTGTCCTGCTTTAAGCCCTTATTCATAAAAGGGTGGTATATATGTATCCTTCCATAAATAACATTCCCAATACAATTAACAATCTTTTTTTTTCTCAAGTAGTTTATTCTGCCCACTGGGTTAAAAAATGAACAAGAAACAATGGCATTAATATTTAAGTAAGTTACATTCTTACCATTAACATTTGTTGAAACTACCTTGTTGTATATTTCAATATTAATTCTGTCTATGAATTGGTTGAGATAAAAATTATTATTTCCTGTCTTCGGAATTGATAGCAATTTTGATTTTTGATACATTCACAATAGCATCCATAGCCCTTACAGGTTTGTATACTATTTTATTTTCAACCCTCAATTTCTGAGGCAAAAGATTTTATGGTACGAAATAATAGTGTAAATTGGTCTTAGAAAAAATAAACTTTCACTTTTTTTTTTGTCAAAAAAACAAGCAGGGAATTCGGGACGGAAACGGATATGCCTGCCTAGGCAGGCATATACATTGTAGTCCCGATAAAATGTCAAAGTACAGAAATGTGACACTTTCAAGATTTTAAAAAGCCTGTAATGTCAATATTACATATACAGTTGAAAATAATAGCTATTTATATAACAAGTACATAAAGTAAGGCTTTATTGTACGAATAATTTAAAGGCCGAGCGAGGCTATTAAATGATGAGTCAATAAAGCCTGTTTATGTATATACATGATTTTATGTACGATTACGACTGGTTTTTATTAAAAATTAAAAATTGAATAAAAAAAATTAAATTCGAGTATACCTGTTTCACTTTGGCAGGTTGTCAGGTAGTCCAGGTAGGCAATAAAGTGACACTTTATTTTACTAGTAAAATAAAGTAGCACTTTATTTTACAGTAAAATAAAGTGCACTTTATCGACGCAAAACTGTTCTATAAATGGCTCTTTATTGGTCAATCGGACATAAAATTAGTTAATTAATAATTAGAATTAGTTCAATCTGTCTGTCATTCATAATTATTATTGAAATTAACATACATATTTCCTTAAGTTGAAGTTGGTTGAACTTTTCCGTGTGTAACTTTAATACCTTAATTTTTAAGTGGATGTAAACAACTAAATATAAGTACATGACCCTAAATTTTTTTTATTAATAATTTAATAATTAAGTTAAGTGGATGTAAATGTCACTCTTTTAGTTCATTGAGCTTGTTGGTCATGGAACATAGGTTACTGTATAGTTTTTCCAAAGTCAATTGGAACAAGGTGAACATAAATTATAACTGGTGGCTGACTAGTGGCAGTGTATTTCTTATGGAAAATACCAGTGACCAGTTGATACCTTGTTCCAATTGAGTTTGGAAATACTATACCAAAAGGAGCATTCAAAAATAGTGGTGTGCTTTAGTTTTTTGCAGTTTGGTCATAGGAGAGAACTATCCTAGGAATATTATCGGGGTACCTGATCTTCAAGGCAACCTCTCCTTTTTGCTTGCGTTTTTGCAATTCTTTTAGGATGTTCTTTAAGTATGCTCTTTAAAGAGGTGTTTGATTCGATTTAATATAAATTTTTTTCTGTTTAAGGTTGTTTTTGTTCCTGAGTATTTCTCAGGCAAAAGCTACAGAGAGTAGAATCACACGGATTGGTCTTACTTTACCCTGGGACTCTGCATCCAGTCGATAGACTTCAATACCAGTTTGCTGAATATTGTTACTTTCTGATTTAATCAGTTTGTATGCTTTTTGTAAGTCAAAATCTGGCTCATTTGGTTGTTAAATTTGTGAAGAAATTCTGAAAAGTATATTATTCTTTCTAGGAAAGCAAAATTTATTGTTCAAAAATTAATATGGATTTCGTATATGTAAAGATAAAGAAACTACTAGATATTCAGTTAAATGCTGACTAGAATAAAACATGTAGTTTATCTTTAGTCCTATGCAAAGTATTTGATTCTGTGGTGAACCATGATTTATTACTTGAAAAAATATATAATATGGGAATCAGGAAATATGCATATACATGATTAATTTGAAAATTACTTACATCAACAACAATTTGTTCAAATTTGCAAGATTAAAAGTTTAAAAAAAAATTAAATGTGGTGTACCACAAGAGTCAGTATTAAGGCCGTTGCCTTGAAATTGTAGATATCAAGAAATTATGGTCAAGAAATATACAAAAAACATGTTAAGTGTAATATAGGTGATACTGTGTAAACAAGAGAAACTTTGTTAGTTCATTTCTGCTTATTATTTTCCTAGCACATCAACTCTTACTTTTGTTGTTGTAATTCAAAATAACATAAAAATATTGTCATAATATAAAAACATTATTCCTATAAAAACAAATCTTCAAAAAATTCAACTTAAATATAAAGCTTTAAAAAACAAAAATTTACCTTCAAAACTGTAGTCCTCATCTTCAGAATCAAACGCATCTTTCCGTCTCTTGCTAAACGGATCCAAATCGTTGTCTTCATCGTCATTCCTTTTTCTACTCCGACTCGGACTGAATTCTTTATCCAAATCAATAATCTCTTTTGGCTTCTCTGTGCCCAAATTCACAAACTTTCTCAACCTGTGTAAATAATTAAAAGTAAATCATGATAATTTTTTCATTTGTAAATCAATCAACTACCTTTCCACTCTCTCTGGTTCATCGAATTCTAATTTCTTCAAATAATTAATCAAATTCATTTGCTCCTCGGTGGACAAATCCTTGAAATTTTGCAGCAACGTTTGCAAATCGGAATCCGACAAGTTTTCCATGTTGCTGGTGGCCCTTTCCGGGGTACTTGGCGAAAGTGGTTCAGTCAAGCCTTCCAGATCGATAATTGAATCTTTTTGTTTGGGTTTTTCGTCGCTAGTCCTGGCACGCGGAAAAATTATTTTTTCTTCTTTGCTGGGTTCTTCTCCGGTGAGTTGGGCGAATAAACTGGCAGTTGACACAGGTTTGTTGGAATTTTTTGATGCTTCTGCCATACCAACCTGAAAAATTAATCATTTTTGTGAAAAAAATATGAACAGTCTAGGTGCCACACATACAGCTACAATAAATCATTTTCATTTAATCGAAATTAAATAGTTAATTTAGCTTGAAACAAAAGTATATCTATGATTAATTTTCGAAAAAATCTTTAGAGGAAGAAATTAGCTCATTATTTAGAGGCTCAAAATTCCACTCAGACAATAGATAAATGACACCCAAGCCAGTGATTTTTTGATTGAGAAATAGTTGAAAACTTTCCAAAAGCGTAACTATAGTACTAAACTTACCACAGCATTAACCAATTGTTCCAATTCAGCTTGAGTAACGTTCGTTTTTCCTTGGGCAATTAAAGCATTAGCCAACTGTTTGGCTATAGCAGCCTTATCGACGGCTCCAACTCCAGGAACTGCCACGTCAGCTGAAACTAAATAAATGGTCAAAACATTTCGTAATAAATTTGAATCAAAATGTCATACCTGGCTTTGCTGTCCTTTTCTTCCTTTCGCTTGCCATGTGAATTAAACTAGCAGTTTTTTGAATGGCCCTTTTGAAAGCCCTTTCTTGATGAATATCCACTAGACCGGCCAACAGTTGGCCTTTTAATTTTTCCTTTACAGTCTCAAACATGACGCAATTGATTTCATTGTCCAAGAGAGTTTCACTACTGTTAGCTTCTTTTTTCTCTAGGGCCAAAGCTTGGGCAAGCAAATCGATTATTTTTGGACCTAGAGATCCTAAACGTTCTTCTAAAGCTGTGAGTAATCGCAAAACCGAAACAATGTTGACCTAGAGAAGAGAATAATAATTATTGAAGAAATAAAATTTTTGATTGTACATACTTCTTCCTCCTCAAGTTCCTCCTCCTGTACACTAGATTGGAATTGTTGAGGTTGGCGGCTCACGTCCCTCATCATTGGCGGTGGAGCATAATAATCGTCCATCATTCTTTGAGAATGTCCGTACATCACTAAAATACAATTTATTTAAATAGATCTAGTGAAAACAACAATAAGTGATTTATTTTCTCATAACTACATGTGTTGTTAATTAGGGGTACACTTACTTTTCTCTCTTTCCCAAGGAAGATCGGCCACAGTACGAATCCTATCTCTAGCTCTCATGTCTCGCTCAAATGAGCTCTCTCTCATCCCCCTTTCCCAGCTTCTTTCTTTGGGCCGGCCAATATCCAATTCACGATCGCGCAAGTCTCTTTCCCTAATAAAAGTCCTGTCTGACGGTGATCTGGTTTAATAAAAATAAGAATTTTATTACATTAATTTTATCATTTATTTTGTTACTTACCGTGATCTTAAGCTATCAATTCTATCTGTAGACCTTCGCAATACAATCTCTATGGAGCGCGATCGTCTGTCTGGAGATATAAACTCGAGACCTCTCTTTGTTCGCTCTGGTCTCTCTGGTGATCTTCTGCGACGTTCAGGCGATCTTCGTCTGTCAGGCGATCTTCTATGCCTTTCGGGCGATCTCCTTGGGGATCTTCTTGATCGTTCAGGGGATCTTCTTGACCGTTCCAATGATCGCTTACTTCTTTCGGGTGACCGCCAACTTCTGTCAGTCGACCGGCGTCTTTCTGGGCTCCGTTTCCTGTCAAACGATCTTTCACGGCTCCGTTTTCGTTCCAGTGATCTTTCTCTGGGCCGAACAGCGATAGGTATCGGGCTTATTTTATCATCTCGTCCACCTTTAGATTGATTTCTGGGTGGTGACAATTCATCTTCCCACGGGCTATGAGATCTGGTTTTATCTCTACTAGAAACAAGAAGTTTTTAGAATATTTCGTATAAAAATATGGATGGTTTTGATGTTTGCCTCCAGTTTAAAAATTTGGAAAATTGAGTTAAGTCAAGATGTAAGGTCTATTATACAAAAACATACCTATTTGCTGGAGGTGCTTTAACAGGTGACAGATTGATAACAGGTGGCGCTTTCTTGATCATTGGTCTGTCATTGGTCACTCTCACATCATCATCCAATATAATGATTTCAGGATCGTTGTCCGGCCTGGCGGCCATCGGCAAGTTGGGTCTGTTTTCTTTTGGTTTGGGTTGAGATTTCAGGGTCACAGCACATCCGCCGATTCTAAAACTGATGGGCGTGGGCTCGTCTCCCAATCCCAAACGTTTCCTCAATCCATCTTTTCTTTCTTTCAGTGCCTCTTCCGCTAGTTCGCGCATACGTTTGCCCCAATATTGAATCCATTCCGGTTTGAAATCGTATTTCGATGCGTCTTTACCTTCACCTTGAAGCTCTTTGTACCGTCTGTTCCAAAATTGTTTCCATTCTTCATTATACTTGGGATGCCTTTCCGGATTTTTCTCGTGTTGCTTGGTTGTTTTTTCAATATCATTTTCGATGGCTTTGCACAATTTCGTATATTCTTCCAATTTTTGAAGTCGGTCCTTTTCTCTGTTTCTTTTTCTTTCTTCGTCCTCTTCCTTGACCATGGGCCTTCTTCTGACTGGAGACGGTGAACGACGTCTGAAACCCCTGTTGACCAAAGGGATATTTTTAAAATTCTCTTTAATACTGAATATAACAAATCAAATTGGAGAATTCCAGGCAGAATTTGGAAGTTTTTTCCTGCATCTTTTCCCGATTGAAGACACTTTCATAGCTAAAATTTGGATTGACAGTATCACTTACCTTGGCTCTCTATCAAATCTCTGATCATTCGGTCTTCTACCCCCATTTCTATTAGGTGGCGAACGATTCCGAGCCAACCGTCTGTTCCCATTGGATGGTTCCGGGTCGGATGAGCTCGATAAACTGGACAAACTTCGACGACGATTCTTCACCCCACCAGGTGGCGGTTTTTTAGAAGCATTACCGCTCACATTAGTTGGTGGTGGTTTGCTGGTGACAGCAGGTGGTTTGTTGGCAACAGCTGGTGGTTTGTTGGTAGCAACAGCAGGTGGTTTGTTGGGTTGTTCAGCGGGGCGCACTTTTTTGGTGGGTCTGGCAACGACTGGAGGTGAAGGACTGCGTTTTTGGGTTTGTTGTTGGATAACGGCTTCTCTTTCGATGAATGCCTTGTTGCCGAATGGGGTGGCTGAAGGTTTTACTGGACGTCCGTCGTCTTTAAAGCAAAATAAAGTTTGGGAAGATTTGATTAAAAAAAAGTAGAAGCAGAACAAAATATAACAGATTCAACATTGGTTCTTTTTGGAAAAAAAAATAATTTGGCGTTTTTTACTTATTTAAAGTTGTCATGAAATTTCCTGGAATGAATGGGTTTTATGGCTTTCGCCAGAAACTCATGACGTCATATTGAACATAGTTCGCCGGAAACATGGACGCAACTTCTAGAAAGCGTTCAAACTCATAATGTCACAAGACAAACTATGGTTCGTCTTTGGATGAACTAAAGTCTGTGGCATGATGCTTGAGTTACGACTCCTGGATAGATAGAGGGGACAATGGACTATTGCTGTCTTGTCATATCAATAATATTTATTAATACATGAAAATTGCAATAAAATTTCCTTCATTTTCATGTATTAATAAATATTTGTTCAAAGTACATACTTAACTTGCACAAAAATAATCAAAATGTCTTTATATGCACACGATGCACGGATTTTTGAGCAAATGGTCCCGGGTTCGATTCTCGTTGAATGCAATACATTTTTTTTTTTCTGTGACGGGAAAAAAGTAGACTTTTTGTATCTGTCGACAGGGGCAAAAATGTTACTTTTTCTCACATGGGAAAAAAGTGATTATTTTTTTCCTGCGGAAAAAAAGTAACAGGTACCAGTCAACTTTTTTTCTCAAAGGGAAAAAAGTATAAGTACGGTCACAGAAAGAAAAAAAATGTATAGATGGAAAATGGTGAGATTTTCCATCACAGAAAGAAATAGTATATCATAGACGGGAAAAAAGTAAGATTTTAGCGCTTGCTGTGTTGTTACCCTTCGCTTCGTGTCGGGACAAACCACACCTTGCGCTAAAATCTAGTACTTTTTTCCCTTGAATAATAAGTAACTATTTTTCAGTTTTTTTTTCTTGAGTTTTTATTTTTCTTTGAAAGATTAATAAGAGGACGGGTTAGTTTTGATTTGCTTTGTTTCGTTGAAAATGCCAACATACAAAGACTAGCATTTATTACGAATTACAGAGCTCCGTCTGTCTGTTCCCCAGACTATTATCACCCAAATCACTCCTGGGTAATATTTTTATCAATTTTATAAACCCATATTAAGCAGAGGTTTTAGCAAGTGCTCTATCGAATCACGAAGCTTAAACTCTGAGGGTCGTGAATGCAATCGCCCCGTAGTACAACTTCATGCCCTACAAAAAACGCTCTTTTTCAGATAGTAAATTATCTCAGTTTAGGCTTGAGTTGCAGGTTGCAGAGGGTGCGGTATATTCTCAACAACGGGTAAATACTGCATACCATGTTTTTAACAGTATTTTAGCTCAATACATATTTCAACCTGATATTTCCTGAGAAAACCATAAAAGCCAAACTAAGAAAACCTAAGTACTGGATGACTTGTGGAATTAAAATTTCTTTAAAAAACAAACGAAATTTATACAAAGAAATAATAAGGGGTAGTATCACAATATTTTTTTTTTTTTTTAAATATTCAAACATCTTAAGATCAGTGAGAATCTAAAAAAACAGAAAATCTAAACTTTATACAAACTTGAAAAAACCAGGAAAAATCAATATGGAGATTGATAAAATGGGTACAGGTAAACGGGGAAAAAAATAAAAGAATCGCTGCTCGAAAATTATTCCAAAAAATACCCAAACAAAGACAAAAATGTTATTCTAAGAAAGGTGAGGTGAAGTACCCAATTATTGACAGGGTCCCAAAAAATGACACATTAGCATAATATTCCCGAAAATAAGAATTTAAAAAGGTTATAAGCTAATTGAAATATAGTAATACTGGAGGCATCTTGCGTGATATGTTCGGTTTTATGGTTAGGAATATTCACGATTTCGCTGATCCAGTTTGTATAAAGCATTTATATGTAAGTATTATACAGAGTTTGCTAGAATATGCAAGTGTTGTCTGGTGTCCAAACTAACAATGGCCGCGTTCACCAGATACAAACGTTGGTAAACGGTTTGCAATTGTTCTGCTGAACGCTACGTTGAATTTGTGTTGAAACCAAACATGTTTTGCAAACGGTCGCTATTTTTGCAAACATAATTTGAGTGTTTATAATTTTCAACACTGTGTTTTGTGTGGTGACCTGTCATTCAGAGGGTGACGTTCTATCATTGAAAAGTTGAATCGTTCAGCAGAACACAGAGTTTACCCAACATATTCTGTTGGGATTTGTAAACTGTTCACAGTCCGTTTTGGTTCTGGTGAACGTAGCCAATGCTACAAATATTTATTGGAAAAAATTCAGAGATACATTGACTTTAAGGAAACAAAAATCTATGATCCCAGGGGATCTGCAACTACTTTACATGGAAAGTACAATATTCCAAATTTAGAAAAGTGGGGGGGTATGCATGCGATTATGTATTTATTTAGGGTAGTAGGTACAGGGTGAGTCACCATGCCTGCAGCCGTAATTACAGGTGATAGGTGAAAGATGTAAATACAAAAGTTGTAGCATTTTATCTGAACCGCCAGAATTTTTGATTAGATTGAACAAATGAGCAACGCAAAGTGAAAAAACATGTCGATGTTCACTTTTTTCAAATGGAATGCCCTTTATTTTCTTTCAAATTCTTAAAGTTCTCGTTTTTTTGATGCAGAGCACATAACATGTTGATGTTTCTTTCAATAGTTTGGAAATATCTGGAATTTATTTATTCAAAGAGAGTAGTTTTTTTTAAAATATACCAGGTGTTTTTCAAAACCCGCTCACCCCTATAACTTTTTTATTTTTTCAAATAAACAAATGAAATTTGGTGTGTTTATTTATGACCCGGATGTGCATTATTTGACGTATTCAATTTTTTACTATCACTTCCGGTTTGACCGGAAGTGACCTTAACTTCCTTATTTTAAATGAGACGCCAGGTAAATTTTTCCTCATTTCAATAGAAAACTACATAACGAGTACAATGACACCTCATTTGTCACTTTTTGACATTTCACCTCCAAACTATTTAAGTTTTTACTTTTTAATCTAGAGCGCCATGAATAAGTTAAAAAGCTTAATTTTGCTCCTAGAAACATGGGAAAATTAGTTTTGAGCTTATTTTGAATTTTATATCCTCTAAAGGCTCATTTAAAGTTAGTAGCAGCGCATTTTTGGAATTATATCAATTTTTTCAAATGAAAAAGGTATGGCTCATTAGCATATTTCGAGAGGATTTTCTAAAGGTGCGTACAGACATGCAACAGAAAGCCGTAACGTAACTTCACCGCGTATCAAGCACGCGACATGTTCTGTTGCGCGACGTTGTTACGTTGCGATGAGGAAAGTGGGTTTAGTTTGGTGCAACAGAACATCGCCGCGCAACATCGGCGCGGAACATTTAGGCGTCCCAGCTTTTTAGCAACGTTTTTAGTTAGTTGGTATCTACGTTCAAGCAAGATGGACATTGCTGCTGCAGCTTACATAGTTATGCACTATTTAGTGCATAAGAGAAAACGCAGACCAAGACGCTGGTGGCAGACTCAATTATACACCAGTAGAACTGTGTACAGTGGTCGTCATTTATTGAGGGACCTAAACTTCCAGTCTGTGAGTGGTCTATACAAAAACTTTACCAGAATGTCGCCAACTGATTTTGAATTTTTGATTAACCTAATCGGTCCAAAAGTATCAAGAAGAGACACTAATTGGAGACAAGCTATTTCGGTTCAGGAAAGATTGGCAGTAACAATGCGTTTTCTGGCGACTGGAGATTCCTTCACGAGTCTGCAATATCTGTTCAAAATTTCGAAACAATCGATAAGCGCTATAGTACCAGAAGTGTGTGAAGCTCTCATAGAAGGGTTGAAGGAGAATATACAGGTATGTTGATTTATTTATTGCTCAAAATTCTTTATTATAAAACATTTTTCTATAAAATTTTGTTCTTGAATATCATTTAATTATCTGGCAAGTTTAAATCAGTTAGTAATGTTGCACTGGTAAATGGGGGTGGATTGCTGGTAGAAGCGGAATAATTTGTCATACCCGAGCATTGTGAACTTGCTGATGCTGGAGATATTAGTGGCAGTGGTACCGGTGAAAACTGAGGCGCTTGGGATGATGCGTCAGTTGCAAAATCCCAATGAGCTGCGGGACGGGGTGAATATGGGGATTGTATCAACTGAGTATCTTGGTAAACCGAATCACGTTGTACAAGTTCGCTTTGGATTGTGGAATAATTGTTTGATTGATAACCTCTTGGAGCGGGATATTGATTATAATACCCCTTGTCTGCCGCAAATAAAATATTCATGATGGCTTCTTGTACTGCCGTTTGTGCTACGTTCGAATATTTACTAAGTTTCTTGGCTACAAGATTTCCAAATATTTGACATTCGCTTGGATCCTGCGGTGGTTCCTTATTCGATGCCTTTGTTAGAATTTCGAAAGCAGCATCCAATTTTTCAACTGCACGTTTTTTGTTCGGGATACTATGAGTCATCTGAGGGGGTTTTCTTTCCTTGTTACTGACTCTAATCCGAGTCTTTGGAGTCTGCTGAGACTCGTTGGGCTCCTGGGTCACGCGAAGCTCATGAGTCTCGTGAGACTGCTGAGTCCCGTGAGGCTTCTGAATCTCATGATGCTCTTCAGTCTCGTCAGGCTCTTGTATGTCGTTAGTCTTCTGGGGCTCCTCAGAGTCCGGATTCATATCTTGCAAAGCGGTATCATCATCTACATCATTACTTTCGTCTGTTTCTTTATCAATCTGCAACCAAATAAAAAGTTCTGTTGATATTTTTTCGATAATATGACAAAATAGTTTTCTGGGTTGGGAAAGAAATGTCTTGTAGATCAGGTCATAAATTCAAGGTTTTTTAGTTAGTAGAATCATTATTCTTTGAAGTTTCTGAAAACGATATTTTTTACAGATACCAACAACATCAGAGGGGTGGTTACAAGTAGCAAAACAATACAACGATATTTGGAACTTTCCGCACTGCCTAGGGGCAATCGATGGAAAAC